CGCGCCCACCAGCGTCGCCCGCAGCGCCACCCGCTGCGGCGCCTGCCGCCCCAGGCGCACCTCCACCGTGTAGTTGCCCGGCTCCGCGCGCCCCGACGCCACCTCCGGGAACGAGGGCACACCGTCAAGCGACGCGCGAGGCAGCCTGCTGGCTACTACACGGGCCAGGGCCAGCTCAACAAAATGCACCTTGCGTTACAATTTATTGGTCATTTCCTCTCAGAATTTAATTAATCCATCATTTAATCATTTGTTTATTCATTCGTTTATTTGTTTACTAGTTCGTTTCTTTACTAGTTCGTTTCTTTACTAGTTCGTTTGTTTACTAGTTCGTTTGTTTACTAGTTCGTTTGTTTACTAGTTCGTTTGTTTACTAGTTGGGAGTGGGAAACATTGAAAAAATGTAAAGAAGCAATGATTTAATATGCGAATGTAAGCAAATAATTGGTAAGAACAAGATTCATGTGCATGAAGTGCAATTTATTGGTCAAACAAAACCTCATGATAAAGTCCCGATCGTCATAATTGGGAAATCAATTCATTCCCTCCTTTGCATTGCAGGATACTATTCCGAATCGTCGCTGGAGTCATCTTCATATATCATCATTCGCAACCGTCGATCCGTAACAACACATCGGAGGTACATTGAAAAGTAAGCTTACTCCGTACTTTACTCTACGTATTTTCGTCGAGTTAAGTTCCTCTCGAGTTTACTCTATTGTAAGTGATTTACTCTCGAGTAAAGTGTTGGTGAAACGCTCCAAGAAGTTAATCTCGTGTAAAATCATTCACTCCAGAGTAAACTCTTATTTTCTGTCGGTGAAACCCTCACAGGTTCAGAGGAGTTTTGGAACTTCTATATGAAGTGATCATTTTATGTATTTAAAATCGTATGATGCGTGTCTACTCAGTCCTGTTAAACTGCAAAATAAAGGACGGTGCATCAATACTTACTTTCAGCACTAACGTGGAATGGCGAGCAACCCCCGGAATGGTAGATGGCACTTCCTTCAGAGGCGGTTCCCAATACACCAACACGGCCCGTTCACCATCCGGTTTGCCGCGACCCTTCGGTTGAGATTCACTTTTCTTCGAGCTCGAGTCGACCGTTACCCCAATGCCATCAGGGTCTCTCCACTCGGGGACGGGCAGTTCGTCTCCTTCCCAAGCGACGCGCACGAACCAATAGAAGGAAGCTGGTCCGCGCTCCATCTGCAATGAGTCAAGTTGCCGTTTTGGAAACTGATAGGGTTGCATTGCAAAAAAATGTGATTGTGATGCTGAAAATGTTTGATCGATTCACAGTTTTCTCCCAACGAACTGCAACCAAGTGAAGAACTCCCAACGAAGTGCAAGAAACCCCTTGTCATATCAATGTCTATTATAATGCTACACTTGTGCGTCTTAAAATGTGAACGATGACTTTGAATCAATAAATAATACGTTTGCATATGAAATGGGAAAGATATGTCGTATCGGCGAAGCTCTAATAAGAAAAAGAAAACACTAACAAGATCAATATAACTACATTTTTAATGGCAGTTAAAAATAGTTTATTTTTTAGAAAATGGAATTTGGAAATTATGTTTTTTGGCGGGAGAGGGGAAGATGAAACAAACGGCGAAAAGAAAAAAGGGAAAGGAAAACAAGAGATTAATAATGACTAGCGGGAAACAAGAAAAGAAAGAGAGAAAATAAGTAAAACAAAGGTACGAAAAAGTCGATATGAAGAGGGGATCACCGTGAGGGGAATGCTGACAACGCAAGAGCACCGGGAGAGGTGGCTCAGGGCATCAACTTATGTCACTGCGGGAACTGCGCGCAATCTTTCCTTCCATTGCCTTGTCCTATCCTCACCCCCATATACTGACATGCACTACACTATCACACATGCCGGGAGACCGATGGGTAGCTTAGAGCATGATCCACCTGGAGCGGTGTTCCTTTGCCGGGAGATATCTGGTTGGGGAAAACTCCGCTAGCCTACGGAAGGTCGGCGCCTGATCTCGCCATCCAATGGGGCGTGAACACCGCCACCTCCCGAGCAAAAAAAAAAGAAAACGCGCACTACACTTAGGGGACTACCAATAATTGCTAGTAACGAACCGCAAGAGCGGCAGGAGAGCGGACGCACCGTGACTGTGGAGTCGCGGCCGCTTTGGTTCCACTCGGGCGCGGGCGCGCGTGTGTCCAGGTGCACGCGCAGCTGCGGGGGGCCCCCGACGGCGCGCTGCACCTTCACGGGGCTGCACGACTGGTTGACGTGGTCCAGATGGTCGCGCACTTCGCAGCACACCACGCCGCTGTCCGTGGCCTCCACGCCCTGCACCTCCGCCTCCTGCCACTGCAGCTTGCCGCGGCCCTTCACCACTTGCGCGTTCTTCGTCCCGTTGACGAACTTCCTCTGCGGGCAGCGAATGCGCGACCGTCGCTGGGGCGCCGCTAGGAACGCGGGCCGCCAGCTCATG